GGTCTATTTCTTGCTTAATAGGTCGCATCAAGGTCAACAAAGAAGGATCCTTATTTTGACTGTGCAAATTTTCCAGAACCTTCAGTCTTCTTTCTAAATCATGTAGTCGTTTATGCTTTAATTTTTTCAAGAATGCTGCTTTGACTATAAGTTTTCCTCTAAGATAGGCTTTAGCAGTGTCCCATAGAATAGATGAACTGACTTCCCCATTATTATTAAGGGATAGAAATTCCTTATATTCTTCTACTATTGCTTTTTTATATGTTTCGTTGTTAAACATGCCAATATTCAATCTCCAGTTTGTTTTCTTTATACTACAATCTAAATGTAAGTTTAAATAGATACCTGCATGGTCCGATAGGTCCCTCTGTCCAATCCCACAATATTTAACTCTATGGAGCTCACTATTAAACATTAAATAATAATCAATTCTTGAGTACATGTTATGGCGAGCAGAATAAAATGTGAAATCTTTTTCCTGTCTATGTATGTCTTGCCAAACATCTGTTAAACCTAAAAGATGAATTGTTTTATTTACCCAGGACTCAACAGAAGTCTTCTTCCTCGTGCAATTTGTTGTGTCTAACTTGGGGTTCATCACTAAATTTAAGTCCCCTGCACATATCAAAATACCATATTTATCAAAGGCTATTAAATCAAAAACCTTTTTGAAGAAAGACAATGGGCTTCCGGGTGGGGCATATACATTGAATAAAGTTACTGGTTTACCCTCTGTTTTCCCTTTGACAAAAATATATCTACCTTCTTTATCTGCAGTTTCAGATATTAATTCAAATTTAATCTTATTTGAGATCAATATAGCAACTCCTCTTTTGTTTCCTGATTTATGTGAAGAGAAAAATGTATTACGAAAACCCAATCTTTTAATCTTTTCATGCTCAGTATGAGACAGGTGCGTTTCTTGCCAGAAAGCAATATTAATTTTCTCCCTTTTTAATTTTGCTATCATTTTACTACACTTTATGGGACTGTTTAAACCGTTTACATTTAATGAAATAAACTTATAATATTGGAACATTTTTCTAATATGTTTACTATGTCATCTTTTACATGTAATCTTGCGCCCTTGAACAAACAAAAAAAATGAGGAATAAAAAATGACAACTCAGAACAAGAAAAAACAATAAGCATCATTAAAAAAAGAAAAGAAGAAAAAACAGTACTTCCAACAAAGAGGAAAACCTAACTCCTCTAAATAAAACAGTGAGGGGAAACAGCCAACAAGTGGGGCCCCTCGTCAATTTATTCTATGTAGAATAGACTGGGTGTATTACCCTAGCAAGTGGGTGGCTCTTTATAAACACACTGAAACAGCCATTATTTATAACCCTCAATGTCACGGGACAAAAAATATCTAAAACTAATCTATAAGATCCAAGAATACCAAGTAATGGGTTACCTCTTGTATGTTCTGATTAGTCACGTTGGTTACGGAGGAGGCTCCCCGTCGGTATAAGCTCAAATAGTCTTACTTACGTACATACTAACGATGTAATAATCATTACGTGTCCAAATCCGTGGCGTCTTGAGAAGTAATTCAATCTTCATGACTTGTGTCGTCCCGGTCGGTCCTCTGAAATCCCCGCAGCCGTTCTCTGATGCTCTCCTGGTACTCAGGACCAGCGCGGCGGGAGCCCGCCGTGCGCCACGGCATAAGCTTGGTCAGGATGTCCGCGGTGTGTTCTCCGGGCTTTTTCACTCGAATCGGACCAACCGAGAAGCCCCGCTTCTCCAACTCCTCCGCAGCGGCACCCGGGTCATTGCAAGTAACAGCCCCAGTGCTAAAATGGATCCGCATCTTCGTCAATGGTGTCTGAAAGCGAATCTGATTTTCTCTCAGCACCTTTTTTATCGGGCCATATTCTTTTCTCTTCTGCTGCACATCTGCCGCGTAATCGTGGTCAAAGAAGACGCGTCTGTTTTGAACATACATCTGCTTTTTCCAGGCCGATTGAAGAACTTTCTCTTTTATTGTAAACCTCAGGAAACGGATAACGATGGAGCGCGGGGGTGCACCGGGTGGTGGTTGTGGACCCAACGCTCGGTGGGCCCGCTCGATACCAAGCTCGGTGCCCCGTTGGACACCCAGGCTTTCCCCCAGTTCAGTCATTATAAAGCTCTCAATGAACCGTTGCACCGATGTACCCTCGGTGTTCTCTGGGACGCCGTAAATTCGGATGTTATTGCGCCGGGAGCGCCCTTCCAGGTCAGACAACTTAGCCTGTAAATCCCTCTGGTTGTTTAAGAGTTCAAGCAATGTGTCCTTCACGGCCAAGTCCCACTTTTCTGCTCCAGCCACGTTTTTTTCAACCTCTTCTAAGCGCCGTGCTCTTTGAGCATGGCAAGCACACTTTATGATTACGATTTTATAGCTACACATTGGAACTATATAAACAATGCTCCAGCATCACAGTGAAGCAGTCACGGCCTATGGGTGCAAGGACAAAGTTCCTCACCCGGACGGAGACATTCAGCACCTACACGCTGCGCCAGGTAGTCTCCTTGCTCCATGATCCAGAGAGAGAGAGACAGAGAGCCTTTATTAATCACTAGGGAAATTCAAGTTTTGCTACAGCAACATTTACACTGCACTTCAGTTAAAGGTCTGAGTGAAGTTTAACACTAGGACTCGTCAGGTAGGGTCAGCAGATCTGTGTCAGGGCAGTTTGAGAAGAGGAAGAGTCCAAAGTATCCCTGGTTTGTGTCCTGCAGCATCACAGCAGTGTCCCAAGGAAATCACGTGAGCGCAACAGGAAAGGCTCTGGTTTCAGGTGGTGATGAAATTGTTAACTCTCTCATAGTATTTCCTCTGGAAGATCTTTTGAAACATTTTCTGCCCCATATGGTATAAAAAGCCCATAGCATCTCAAATGTCCTTATTTAGCTACTGTACAGCTGCAGTTTATATGTGAAGTATTTTGTTAATTTGGTTCAATGATTTACAGCATTTTTATTCAGTGAAAATAAGAACAGAGCTTTCTCAGGCTATTTTATAAATATAGACTGCTAGGGGAGTTATTGTCAGACTTTTCGTTTTTTGATGATGATTTGATGATTTCTTTTCTTTTCCTCTAGAGTCTGTCTCTCCTCTCACTGCATTCTCACAGGCTCCTGTATCAGTGCTGCTCTGCCTCATCTCCAGCAGAAGCAGAGGCAAACAGTAGCTCCTCCCACACTGCCCTGCTCTTTTTACACGCACTGCACTCCACTCTTTTTTCTGAACACTAAACCTATGTTATATTACACAGAAATGTCTCTACAGACCATTTTCTCAGTAAAACTTATGAGACAGAGTCTGAGAAAAAGATTGGGTATATCGCAACTCGCGTTGTGGGTGCATATTCGAGCACATTTGATTAAAGCTGATGTAAAGCCAAAAGTGATCCTGAAGTATATAAAAGTCAATGGGCCTGACCTTGCTCCCAATCTTAGCACTAGTGCTATTATTATGGAGGGGGTGTGTCCAGGTGGGGCTGTACTTCGCTGCTGGGGGCTGCAGTGGGACAGTACAAGTACACTTATGGTGATGGCATTTGAACCAATCTGTGATCACTGTGGCATTTAAAAGCACTGCCAGTGTGGGTAAAGTCTGCAATCTTTTCCTCACTACAGGCAGCAAAGAGGAGTGTGGGGAAGAGTTATGAGTACAATAAAACAGCTCCAGGGCCCCATGATGCAAGTACCTAAGTCTATCAACGTAAAATAAAAAGTGACGGAAAGATAAAATCCACCTCTGTTGGAATATTTCAACTGTAAGTCCCTATGGAGCTGTTTTCTTGCTGCATCTGAGGAGGACTTTGCAATAACTGTTTTCCTTTTGGACCAAAATAAACGGCCAAAATGAATCGTGACACCAGTATCAAATGATATTCGATATGATATCAATATTGTTCCATCCCTGATAGGTACCCACATGATGTTTACATTGTTTACTTAAAGCTGAACAGTTTTTTTTTTTTTTTTTTTTTTGGAGTGGAGCATTATTGGCCCGAGCCAGTAACGAAGCTGGACGAGCTGTTGGTCTGTACTCTCAGTCTTTGTCAGGAAGAGAGAGTGGCGTGCTGAGGTGGTAGTGAGTCATTGAAGGTTGCGTTGAAGTGGGAGTGCGCATCGGGGCGAAGGCCATCATCGCCGTGAGCGTCTTTAATTGGCCCTCGCCACTAACGAAGTTAATGGCGAGGGGTATTGTTCTTCCTCAGTTTCTTACTTATTATTCTTTTTCCCCATATATAATCGCATTTTTGACCCCCTGAATGTAGACAAAAAGTCTCTTAACTAGGTATGGGATCAACCAGCCCAGCAAAAAATTTGATAAAATGGGCATTGCAACAATTCCCAAAGCGACTCGACTCAACAGCGCCGCCTAGAATTGGACCCCTATGGGAGTGGGGACAAGTAAAATTGGAGCATGCTCCTATGACGAACAGCAAGTCGGCCATATTCGATCAAAAATTTGCCACCGTTTTGACTTGCATGTGTGCAAAAAGATTAAGTCCCTGGTGTTTGGTCCAAATGAGCTCAGATTTGACATGTCACATCTATAGACATAAGTTCACAAAAGTTTTATATTTTTTTGGGATAGTCCTTACGGTTTGCCCGTAGCACGAACGGGCACGCACGAAATGGCGATGGCAAGGGCCATCATCGCAGTGAGCGGCTTTAATTATATTCTTATTGTTCATGTATTAATACCAAGATCATGCTCCCAAGATCTCTTTCTGTTTTGAGTACGTAAGCCATTTAAAATGACCACTTGATTGTAAATATATGATTTTTTTCTGAACAATGTGCCCCTACACCCTGTTTATATTGTGAAACTGAGTTGAGAAAATTTCTCATTTGTAAATATCTGAAAAATGTCTTGTAACTGACTAAATGACTGATGATAACACATTAGCGCATCATTACTGTCTAAGCAGCTCATTGGCTTAGTTCCACTTGTATATGCTGTGTTTAATGGAGGATGCTGATGTGTGCAGGAGAAGAGAGTGGTGAATGACACTAAAGCGGGGGCATCCAGGGGCCCGCAGAAGCCCCATGAGGACACAGAGGGACACAAAGTGCAGAGCCCCTCCAAGAGAATGTCAGGTCGCGTGGGTCGAAACCCCAGAGGAGAGGGGCGGGAGGACAGGGGCCCCCGGGAGGACAGGGGCCCCCGGGAGGACAGGGGCCCCCGGGAGGACAGGGGCCCCCGGGAGGAGGTGCCTGGTGAGACATCGGGTCGTAGGGGGGGCCGGGGGAGCAGGAGGGGCAGAGGTGGAGACACAGCAGTGGGGAGTGACCGTAGGTCCAAGGTATGTCCCACCACACAGACATTTAACCTACTAACCTCAACACAAGCCCCTGATGCCTCCCACATGTGTTTTGTCCAGGAGTGGGAAGAGAAGAGGAGACAGAACATCGAGAAAATGAACCAGGAAATGGAGAAGATAGCAGAATATGAACGAGGACAGCGGGTATGTAATTTTAATAAATTTCATTCAACTGTAATCTGAGTTTTGTTTTAACACCATCTGATTAGAAAGAACTGGTTTAGCTTGATGAGGTGCAGTGTTTCCCAGACCAATCTGTGGCACAGCGCCACAGAATGAAAATCTAGCACCACAAATTGATTCTGCCTCTTTTTTTTTCAATGCCATTCTGTCATTGTCACTCGAGACAGACAGAGACAGACAGAGACAGACAGAGACAGACAGAGACAGACAGAGACAGACAGAGACAGACAGAGACAGAGACTCACCTTTTTGTTGAAAATCTACAAAAAAGTGAAATCCAGTTTGTGTTTTTCTTGAGTTTTCAGACTATTTTCAGCATGATGTCACAGCAAAGTTCCAATAGGATTCCATATTCACAGAAGCTGTTGTTTATTCTCTCTGTGTAGCAGGACGGGGACAAGCCCAGCAGACACTTCCTGGATGACCCACGGCGCACTGGACCCGTCCCCGACACTGATCGCAAGGAGGGCAGCCGGAGACATGTGCGCAACTGGGGAGGCCTGGACTTCGACAACGTGAAGACGGGAGCAGAAATGGAGAAGGAGTGGACTGTGAGTGGATTTCGCTTATAGAACCCTTTTGAGGAAATGGTAATGGTATAAGGTCCTGTTGTATAGTACGCAGAACTGATTAATGTAAGCTTTTATTTATATCTTAGAACCCTGTAACCCTGCATTATTAGAGTATCTCTGTCTTCAAATTTCAAAATACTCTTTTACTTTTCATTCAGTAGAAATTGGCTGTTCCAGGGCAGACGTCATCCAAATGATTCTAGAGAAGGTATATGGAGTGGAACACAGTGGAGTACATCCCATATTACCACATGACATCACAAGGTGGAACAGAGTATTTTCTGTTTAAGAGAAGACAAGAAAAGAACTCAAAATTTCTAATTTAAATGAGAACATAGCACCAGGCATAGGTGCTGATTTTATGTTTTTTCAAGTGGGTCCTCAGTGCACGTGCATGCACTTGTGACCACACACACATACACATTCCACTTTTTTCTGCGTTTCTCGTGAATTGCTCTTCCATTAGTGGCGGACACACACGGGGTATTCACTGGCCAGCGGGTCCGAACTTCCTTACATCCTCGTCTTATTGTCTCTGGTGTCCTCGCTCCAATAGACTGTTCTGGCTTGCGTTTGAAGGCATAGCATTTCTTTTGGCCCATTTTGTTTTTGATCCCTGCTTTGCACACAGTCCTCAGATCAGACCTACAATGACTGAAATTACTAGAAAGAGAGAGAGAGATGGACAGACAGACAGACAGACAGACACTAAATGCTCTTTCTAAGCGTGCATCAAATAAAGTCCATTTAAGATCAGGGGAAATTCAGGTGCTTGGCAGGGCTGGCCGATATGGGGAAAAATGACTCATGATTTTTTTTCCCCCATATTGATCGATTTTCAATTCAATCTTCTTCCATCTTTTATTTCATGTTGATGGGTCCAATAATTCCAGAGAAGTTCATATTTGAAGGTCGGAATTTGTTTGTACAATATATTAAACCCAAAAGCTTGCTCACATTACAGTTAGCGACATGAACATGCGTGATGTCCGTGTGCTAAATGAGGTCTTTAGTTTCACTCAAACTGTGAGAAAATAGTTGTTTACTTTCTGTAACTTGGATTATAATTATGAGAAGCACCAGAGAGAAAGAGAGGAGAAAAGGTGAGGAGCTGCGGCTGAATCAGAAACAGAGGGAGGGCGGCACTGGACTTTTAGTCAAATTGTGCAGATTTAAGTCAAAACTTGTGAACACGTGAGGAGACATAAGAGACGCTCTGTGGCTGAGGTGCTTTTTCCTAAAGAGCTAAAATCCTCGTCAGCACCATGCGCTCTTACTGCCTCATGATTGGCTATTGACCTGTTAATTAAAATGCACATTTTGACATTGAGATTGACCAAAGTAGAGTGATCTATCAATCTTTCGATTTTTGGGACAGCTGGGTCAGTCCATATGAAATTAGCCATTTTCAAGGAATCTCCCATATGAGCCATCTCAGATTTGGCTGAATTTTTATTTTAATTTTTCTAAAATTACCAAATGAAAGGATCTCAAATTTTAGCACAATCCCTTGAGTCGCTCCTGAGTTATGGTCCGTTAAAATTTTGGGGCCATGCTCACTTTTTCAGAAACCTTAATTTATAAGCGTGTTTGAGAGACCATAGCTTCATAAAAAATTGAGCTAGGAAGGTAAAAATTAATTATTGAATTATTGTAGATTATTGGTCATAGATTCTGAATCTGTTGTCAAATATTGTGTATCTTTATTAAGGGGGGGCGCTGTGGGCCCCCAAAATCTCACATTTGGTTGCCACTCAATTTTTTTATTTTTTTTTTTGAGGTCCAACATCTATTTACTCAAAGCAGATATTTACAAACTAACTGCTGAACCTGAATATTTGAGAATGACCATTTCTGGCAACAATCTCACACTTTTCTGAGCTTTCATGTGGATGGTGTAGAGTCCCAAATATGGTCACAGACCAGATTTGACCTTTTTGGACCCTTCTTTGGACCCTCAGTTCCCCACGTGGGCACAGTTAGACATTGATAAACATTTTAACCAGAGAAACTTTGGCATATTCTGATTAGTTTAAAGTAGTAGTAGTAGATTAGTTTGGTGGAACTTAGGGACTTTTCCACCTACAGAAAGGTTAATTTACCTCTAATAGACTTAAACACTATTTGCTTGTTATAAGGGAAGACAATTGGAGATTATTTGTGGTACATTGTTTGGAAAAGTGTCATTAATCCTTTGAGAAAATTCAACTATTAACTCTGTCCAAAATTATGAAAAAAGGTTTGTTTGCATTTTTTATTTTATTTTTATTTGAGAAAGATAATTTGTTATCTCACAAAGAAACAGCTTTTCATGGTGTATAAGTAAAGCAACAAAAGTTAAGATAGCATTGATAAATACTATAATTAGTGCTGTCATGCGATTAAAAAAATTGAGAGATTAATTAATTATGATCGGTAATTAATTAATCTAATTAATCTCATTTTAATCTCACCTAAAAATAGCTGAGAAAAGCCTTCAATTTGAGGTATTTCATTTAAATTCATTATTACATTATTGTGGCAGATCAAAAGACTGATATAGAACAAAAAAGTGACTTTATAAAGTCATTTATTGTTTAACAAATCTCTCCAAATTGGTTGTTGAGTCCAAGTCTCCATGAATAAGAAACTGTTTGCTGTAAAGTAGCAAAGACGAGGAAATCTGAACATAATAACTTTTGTCTAAAGACAATAAAAAGTCCAGTCTTTCCTTAACCATATTAAAAATATTATTGATAGAGAAATGCTTTATATATGAGATCACTGGTTTTAGTCCTTGTTTTAGTCCTGGTTTAGACCTGCTTTAGTCCTACTTTAGTCCTAGTTTAGTCCTGGAATGGATTAATCCTGGTTTTAGTCCTGGTGTTAGTTCTGGTTTAGTGCTGGTTTAGTCCTGGTTTAGTCATGGTTTAGACCTGGTTTAGACCTGGTTTTAGTTCTGGTTTTAGTTCTGGTTTAGTCCTGGTTTAGAGGCTCACAGGAGGAAGCGCGGAGAAAACACGATCCACACGCGGCTCACGGGAGCACGTCGATGTCCGCGCAGTAACTATGGAAGGAAACGTGGTCCGCGCGTTCTCAGGTTAATGACGATGATGAAGGTGTGTGTTTGTGTGTGTGTGTGTGTGTTTGTGTTTGTGTGTGTTTGTGTTTGTGTTTGTTGTGTGTTTGTGTTTGTGTTTGTGTGTGTTTGTGTTGTGTTTGTGTGTGTTTGTGTGCATGTCCCCTCATGTGGCAGGTCACTATAGGACAGTAGTGCAGACATCATGAGTCTATGCAGGTTGTTTTCACCAGTGACATTTAAGTTGTAGGCGATTTTATATTTATTTTCTTTTATATTTCACGTCGGGAGAATAATTTCCAAGACACGAATGTGTTTTTACCTGTGCACTGCTGCCTCTGTTCTACTGGCTCTTCGACCTCGTCCATTGTGCGACTGACGCTGCCAACGTTAACATGACATTTACGTCGCTCTTATTGCGCACGTTTTGTGTGGGTTTCCGGCAATGAGTGGAATTACCGAAATAAAAAAATGTATAAATGTGTTTTGTGTGTGTGTGTATAAAACAGGTTTTATAATAAAGCAACTCGCATACAGAAACACTAAAGTTAGAGATAAAAAATGAGATTAACGCGATTAAAAAACATAACGCGCTAAATATGACTGTAATTAATTAATCGCAATTAACGCGATAATTTGACACCCCTAACTATAATATAAATTACATTTGGAATATCCATTGCCTGAATCTCTGATTCTATAACCATGGTGTTCAGTACCACCATATGTATATTATTTTTGCACAAAAACATTACAAGAAGGCAGTAACATTAACAAGAAAAAAATTGATACTGACACAAAAGTTACCAAAATACAATAATCTGGTCTGTTATTTGTTCAGATGCTAGAAATTACGTTTAAAAACTTCAGTGTGAAAAACAACCTCAGCGGAAAATACCAACATACTGGAAAAATCTGCCCATTCTGGTCCCTTTGCCGCCTCCATGTAGATCTGTGTTGGGATGTTGCACACTAAGTGTTCCTAACTACTAATGAACTTCAGAAGTAACATTTGGATCCTGTCATAATCTGCAGTGTCAAGGCGATAATCTCGTGCTCTTCTCTGAATTTCTGGAACCTTAATACAACAGATTATGTGCTGAAACTGGACCCAACATGGTTCTGCCGATGTTCAGGAGGCCAGATGAGAGTTCTGTTGCCTCGTTTCATGAATCTCACATAGACATCACCATGTACATCTAAAAATAAATCTGAAATAGTCCCAATGAACCACCTGTTGTCATAAATACAAACACTGTATTGACCTGCTGGTACAGAGAGCTATCTGACACAATCTCATTTTGGATTTCAGAAACTGACACTTCAGTACATATGAGATCTTGAGATATTCTCCTTGTTTCTAATTTACCATTTGACACGGGAATGAAACTGTGGTGTGATCTAGTACCATTCACAGTCTTTGCCTTGCTGTAGCTCTTCTAGTTTGGAAGTAAGTTCATGATTTGTAATGTATTTAGAGCTTGTCAAGAAAAACTTTACATTCTTTATGTTTTTTGAAGCCCACTCAAACATCTGGATTGTGGTCAATATTTGATTGCTGTCAGGTCCCTGAAGTAAGTCTTTATTTATATAGCGCTTTCACAGATATTTTCTGTCCCCAAAGACGCTTTACAGGGCATTATTCAGCACTATTCATTCAGCATTCATTAATACAGCATTATTCATTCACTCTAAACCCGGATGATGGTAAGCTACTATTGTAGCCACAGATGCCCTGGGGCACACTGACAGAAGCGCGGCTGCCATGACACTCCGACCACCACCATCACCTCACACACACACACACACACACACACACCACTTTCATACTAGGCAATGAGGGTGAAGTGTCTTGCCTAAGGACGCAATGATTGAATTGATTGTTTTTAACTGACCTTGACTATCAACTGTTCATGGAGCATGTTTTAGGGTTGAAGACTGGCTCTTGCAGCCGATCGGTTTACAGTGCCGCCAAAACCATTGTTGTGGCAAAAATTATGTATCTCTTGAAGATAAATTATGAATCCATTTGAGAAGCCTAATGAGTTTTTGGAATATAGCCCAAGGTTTATTCTTGTTACAGCAGATATGGACAGGGCCTAGGCCTGTTCTGGCCAAAACCCAACAGCCTCTCCCACCAGCAGTATGTTCCTACTACATCTCCCCACTCCCCAATATTACAAAACACCAAGTTTATATATCCTGAGATGACCAGAAGACATACATTTCAAAGTGAGAAGGTGATGACTTCAACTGAGGTGTGGCCACATGTGCTTGATCTGATTTGCTCCATATTCACTTGCAAGAAAAAGGGAACAGAAGTATTTATATTGAAGGGTCTTTCTAACAAGCCAAATGAGTTTTAGTTACAAGACCAAATGTGTTTCTAAAAGATAAACTAATCACTATTTTAATGTAATCAATCATAATCAATATTTTCCTGTGGGGGTCTGGTCTCAAGTAGAAATCACATTCATTTACACAAAGACAGAATGAAAGAAATCTTTCCACAATCTAAATTTCTATCACACCATCACAAACAATGTACCACAAATAATCTCCAGCTGTCCTTCCTTATAACAAGCAATTAGTTTAAGTCTATTAAAGGTAATTGAACCTTTCTGCAGGTGGAAAAGTCCTTAAGCTCCACCAAAAATTACCCGTGAGAGCTCATTTTCAAAAATTCAGTTTGAAATTAAGGAAGTTAATAGTAGATGTTTTTATTACTTTAAACTATTCAGAATATGCCAAAATATGGTATGTATGGTAAATATGGTACAAATTTTATCAACATTTAACTGTGCCCATGTGGGGAACCGAGGATCCAAAGAATGGTTCAAAAAGGTCAAATGTGGCCTGTGACCATATTTGCAACTCTACACTGTCCACTTGAAATCTTAGTAAAGTGTGAGATTGTTGTCAGAAATCGTCATTCTCTCAAATATTCAGGTTCAACAGTTAGTTTGTAAATATCTGCTTGGAGTAGGGATGGGCATGATTAATCGATTAATCGATAATTGATCATTAAGAATTTCATCGATTACGTTCATTTTAATCGACAAACCGAATGTAGGTTTCTGTGCGTAGGGGTAGCGAGACACAAACATTCGGTCAGTCTGCAGTGTACCGAAGCACAAATGCGTATTTAACGATGATTTGTACAAGAAATTCCACGCTTTCTGTTGCGTTCGGGACAAGTGTGAGTCCATGTGCACAGTGTACAAAGCAAGAACATATGTTTCGGTGTCCAGTGGGAAAAAGCTTTACCAGGTGAGAGCCGCGCAATGTCAATGACGAGTCCCCACCTCCCTCCCCCAGTACGGTGTCCTGGTTTTGACAAACGCAAATCTGGTCACACTAACCTGTATTCCACTGAGTCATGTCTTTTAATCCGACAGAAACTGACCGCATCAGCGACACAAGAGCTGTAGTTATATTTTCGCTGAGTTTATGCAAATTAGCGATGCGGTTTTAAGTTTCGTTTCTGAGAGTTGCGCTAAACTAAATTAAACACATTATAATGTCAAACGGTTTGATGTGGCTCTAGAGTCGTTACGGTTTATATGTCGTAAAGTTGAATTTATTTATGCAGATTAGTAGTGCAGATAGTAATAATAATGATGATCATTTTAATATAAAAACATTAATGATTAATCGATAATCGATCGTTAATTCTTCCGACGATCGATTAAGAAAATTTCATCGAATGCCCGTCCCTATCTTGGAGAATACCCAATATTTGACAACAGATTTAGAATCTATGACCAAGAATCTACATTAATACAAATTTTCATCTTCCTAGCTCTATTTTTTATGAGGTTTTGGTGTCTCAAACATGCTTATAAATTAAGACTTCCGAAAGTGAGCATGGCCCCAAAATTTCAACAGCCATAACTCAGGAACCACTGAAGGGATTGAGCTAAAATTTTAGATTCTTTCATTTGGTAATTTTAGATTTTTTTTTTCAGCCAAATCTGAGATGGCTCCTAGGGGAGGACGGCTGATTTCATATGGATTGACCCCAGCATGGAGATTTGCAGGGGTGCTCTTGCAGAAAATTTCGTAATATGAAAATTATGCAAATGATTAGTGAAGGTATATGGTCTTTAAAAGGCAGTGGAGCTCTATCCTTTATTACCACGTTGTGATATCACAAGGAGGAACAAAGTGTTTTCAGTTTGCAGCCTAAATATGCAGATTTGTGCACTGAATATATGTGAATGAAAACTGATAAAACATTACAACTAAATGTATTAACACACACCCTTTAAAGGTAGTAACTTCTGGGTTCCTCTGGGTAATGCTTTTCTTGGAATGTTTCACACTATGGCATTAAACCAGGCCAAGTTATAGTAAGTTGGAAATGGGTAGTTTTGAGCAAAACATGAGTTTTTGAATAGATGCATGGCTTTAATGCCATACAGTGGAACATTTCAGGCAATAACATTTCCATAAAGAGAAACAGGTGGTGGACTGTCCACCTCAAAGCTGTATAGTGCATCTTAAATTTGTATGCTTTTTGTAAGTAGGATTAGTATTATTAGTATTATACTAGACCAGGGGTCGGCAACCCAAAATGTTCAAAGAGCCATATTGGCCCAAAAAAACAAAAAACATACCTGCCTGGAGCCGCAAAAAATTAAAAGCCTTATATAAGCCTAATATGAACGCAACATAGGCTGTCAATGTATTAGCTATATAAACCTACTATTAAAATGACTAAGTAGGCTACAAATACAAAATGAGCATTCATGATTACACAAACCCCTTTTGCAATCCTCTCATACTCGGTGCGCCGTCTGTAGACCGACGTTTACCTGTTGCTTTGACGACGATGATGGAAGTATTCAGAGCAGCAGTCGCATTTCTTCTGATCGTGCATAGGAGCATTCATAAAACAGCAGCATGTAGAACTTTCTACGCAACATCAGCCCAGAGCAGAAGCTCTGAGCTCGGGCAGCAGCGCAAAATACACGGGAGCAGTCATCGCGCAGCTCCTCAAGACGGGGCTGGGGGTCCAGTGTTGGTCAGATTGTCCGGAGGTTTCGTCCTCCGTGTCCTGGTTCCAGATGGGGGCGAGCAAGACCAGCGTGCAAAGGACTGGGTCCGAGTGGTTCCGTGTCGTCCTCTGTGCGCTGGTTCTGTGCGGGAAAAGCGAGAATGCGCTGTGGACTACAGATCCGGGCGGGCTGCTCCGGTCCTCCACGCTCGACCGCGGCCTGGTTCCGAGGTGGTGCAAAGCATCCGGACAGAAGCATGAATCCAGTTTGGTTCATTATATGTTGTTCTGAGCGTCCGTCTGTGCACGTGTTTTTGTTTTTGTTTTTTTCGGGGAAAACGCTTCTCAGGTGGAGGCACCACACACCACTCCCCGCTTCAGCTCATCTGTTTGTTCTGCTGAAACACTTTTCCTATGTTTGCGTTTGCACACAGCTGATGGATCAGATCCATGACCAGAGATGAACGAGGGTTTTACCCCTAAAGAAACCATATTAAAACAACAACAAAAAAATCATTCCTTTTCCATTTTCACTCATTTTTGAAAAAGCTCCAGGGAGCCACTAGGGGAGTGCTAAAGAGCCGCATGCGGCTCCGGAGCCGCGGGTTGCCGACCCCTGTACTAGACCGTATGATTCTGCATTTTGTTAATTGTAAGCGGAAATATTGATATAAAATTGCTTAATAATAGAAACTGGTCCATTGCCGTCCTGTTCAAGTCTACAGAACCTGTAAGAGGCGGGGCCTCTTCATGGTGGCATTTCACAGTAACAAGCAATAAATTTTCAGTTACCTGATTTTTGATTACCATATGACCTTATATCTGTGTAATTCCTCAATCAAATCAAACATGGTGGTTGACTGTGTCTCTGTGCAGAGCCGGCGCCCTGGGCCCAAAGGCTCAGTGGACATGACCATGTCCATGACCGGCCGGGAGCGAGCAGAGTACCTGCGCTGGAAAAAGGAGCGTGAGCAGATTGATGAGGAGAGGCTGGCACGCCACCGCAATGCCACTGGGCAGTGGAGGCGCGAGTGGGATGCCCAGAAGTCCGACAGCATGTGAGCCCCAGACAGCTGACAGCTAGCTGATGAGCTCCTGACTGCTACACTAATCACTCAGCTAACTCACATTTAAAGGGTCTATAGAACTCAAATTTATACTTAAAGGGACTATATTGCCCAAAATGGACTCTTATGAGCGTTAAGCCATGTTAGAATATTGTTACCTCCTCAAAACAAACATGTTTGTGTAACCCTTTATTATTAGTCTGTGTACATATGAAAAGCTCAAAAAGATCTTTTCGCCCTGGTTTGATTTGTTTTATTTGATTGATTAGTTTATTTGATTGGGACAGAGCATGTTAGTAGACAGTCCACTCATCGCACAGTTCCCACAGTCCAAAATATTGCACAGTCCAGTCATTGCGCATTTCCATCTATTCTGCTGTCAATTTGGCCACACATTCAATACATATTTTGCCCATACATGCAACATGTCTCCATAGAAGCTCAATTAAAATCACTAAAAAGCGGTAGTTTTCAAGTTAACAGCTATCTTTTACCTTTTTTGTTAAGCAGGATTGGCAATTCTCAGTCTTAAATTATTCAGATAATTCTAGTGAAGGTGTATGGAGTTTAAAAACACATTGTAAAATATTTGTGTATGAAACAAGACTCAACTATGTTTTTGATAAGAAACTTATAAGACAATAAACATAAGAAAATAGCGTAACATGGGCCCTTTAGACACATTCACATCTATTACTAACATGAGTGAAAATGGGGGATTAGGTCTGACCCTTGACTGTGCTGCAGGTTCACAGAGGACCAGGCTGTGAGTGCAGACGGTGCAGTGACTGAGCAGAGTGCCCGCCGAGGTGAGTATCTTACACGCTCACACACACACACACACACACACACAGCTTAAGCTATTACATGTGGGCAGATAGCGCTTCTAAGCAGCTCTTTCATGAAGCCTTTTATGCAAATGTGTGTCATTTCCCTGGAGAGGAGGGACTTTGAGGCAGAGGTCACCTAATCCCAGAGGGGCAGAGTCAATCTAACACAAGCTCCTAAGAACCAGCCACAGCCCGCAGAGGCTTTTCCGCAAATCCAGTATACAGGCTGTGGTTGACTTTAGACATACCCTGTGCTTTGGTGGAATGGTGCTGGCAAAGCTCTCAAACCTTACCTTATTGAAGGGAATAAATAGGAGTAGCAGAGCACATAAGCAATTTTCACAACTTTCAGTCAGACAATTTGCATGCTCACACACACTTCCTGATTATCGTACAAGAAAAACTCCTTTATAATTAAATGCAACCAGTACACAGTGGACATATTTTGACATGAAGACTTTACAATATATCTGTAATGAGGCAAGGCACATTTTACTCGCATACATCGAGTACAGGGCCTTTAATATCATGTTCATAAGCCCCAAATGTGGACTCATGATGTGTCTTTTCTGTGTCTACACCATACCTGTGGATCCTTCTCCTATAAAACTACTGGTTTACAGGGACGTCCTTGAGGCCATTTGGACCCTTTCTCTCTAACCCTTTAACCCATAATGAATAGTGAGGGAGAGAGAGTTTGTTATTCATTTATCCTATAATATGTAACCTGTCTGAATGTAAGTCCAGAAAGTGATTGAAGTCTGTACAACACCCTATTCATGCAATTTTCTCATTACTATACTATTTCTCAATACTATTATTCAAACAGTTTATTTTCTGTCTTTTCTGTATACAGATATTTTTTTATATTATTGAAAAGCTTTTACATACTTTTCTTTTGATTTCTTCTTAAAATGTCTACTATTATGAATGTCTTTGCTGTTCTTTGGTGTTATTATTTCTGCTTGGTGCATCAGTTAGTCTCATTATTTTTCTAGATGACCATAAGCGGCCTCCTAAGGCTCCTACATTTGGAGACTTCCTGTCCCAGGGTCGGACCCATGGTCCAAGAGGGGAGCGCGGCCGTGGCCGAAACCGGGGCTCCAGACCTAGCTACAGGTGAGCGCATACTTGCTCATGCAGTCACCTCCTCTTGCACACAATACCTTGTGCACACGCCTCGTCATGCACACTCTTCCTCGTGCACACGCCTCTTCATGCACACCCCTCCTTGTGCACATGTTTCCTTGGGCACACCCTTACAGCACATCCTTTACACAGGCTATGAACCTTCCACTTCTAAACTTTGTGATACAATTGGATATTAGATAGAAGTGATGTGTGACTTCTTCAAAGTAAATAAAATGTCATTAATGGTTCAGTTCATCCCCTCCTTGAACCGTCACCTTATCGTGGTGGAGGGGTTTGAGTGCCCGAATGATCCTGGGAGCTATGTTGTCGGGGGCTTCATGCCCCCGGTAGGGTCACCCAAGGCAAACAGGTCCTGGGGGACCGGTCAGACGAAGAACGGTTCAGAAGCCCCACATGATGAGTTCCAATCAGAGGCCAGTTACGTCGCCCGGAATGGCGTCACCGAGGCCCCACCCTGGAGCCAGGCCTGGGGTGGGTGCTCGAAGGCGAGCGTCTGGTGGCCGGGCCTTCTCCCACGGGGCCCGGCCGGGCACAGCCCGAACAAGCGACGTGGGGCCGCCCTTCCGTGGGCCCACCACCTGCGGGAGGAGCCATATGGGGACGGTTCAAAGAGATCTGGGCGGCAGTCGAAGGCGGGGGCCTCGACGACCGGATCTCCGGACATGGAGACTAGTTCTGGGGACATGGAATGTCACCTCGCTGGGGGGGAAGGAGCCTGAGCTTGTGCGGGAGGTTGAGCGTTACCGATTAGATATAGTCGGCCTCACCTCCACACACAGTTTGGGCTCTGGAACCCAACTCCTTGAGAGGGGCTGGACTCTCCATTTCTCTGGCGTTGGCCGCAGGGAGCGGCGGTGAGCTGGTGTGGGCCTGCTCATTGCCCCACAGCTCAGCCACTGTGTGTTGGAGTTCACCCCGGTGAACGAGAGGGTCGCGTCCCTGCGCCTTCGGGTCGGGGACAGGTCTCTCACTGTGGTGTCGGCCTACGGGCCGAACAGCAGTGCTGAGTACCCGGCCTTCATGGAGTCCTTGGGAGGGGTACTAGACAGTGCACCAACCGGGGACTCCGTTGTTCTACTGGGGGACTTCAACGCCCACGTGGGCAACGACAGTGACACTTGGAGAGGGGTGATTGGGAGGAACGGCCTCCCTGATCTGAACCCGAGCGGTGTTTTGTTATTGGACTTCTGTGCTAGTCACAGTTTGTCCATAACGAACACCATGTTCAAGCACAAGGGTGTCCATAAGTGCACGTGGCACCAGGACACCCTAGGCCGGAGGTCGATGATCGACTTTGTAGTCGTGTCATCTGACTTCCGGCCGCGTGTCTTGGACACTCGGGTGAAGAGAGGGGCTGAGCTGTCAACTGATCACCACCTGGTTGTGAGTTGGGTTCGCTGGCGGAGGAGGAAGCCGGAAAGACCTGGCAGGCCCAAGCATGTAGTGAGGGTCTGTTGGGAACGTCTGGCGGAGCCCTCTGTCAGAGGGGCTTTCAACTCGCACCTCCGGGGGAGGCTGGAGATATGGAGTCCGAGTGGGCTTCATTCTCGGCCTCTATTGTCAATGCGGCCGCTCATAGCTGTGGGCGTAAGGTCCGTGGTGCCGGTGGCGGCGGCAATCCCCGAACCCGGTGGTGGACACCGGAAGTAAGGGATGCCGTCAAGCTGAAGAAGGAGTCCTATCGGGTCTTGTTGGCTTGTGGGACTCCTGAGGCAGCTGATGGGTACCGGCGGGCCAAGCGTGCTGCAGCTCATGCAGTTGCGGAGGCAAAAACTCGGAGCTGGGAGGAGTTCGGGGAGGCCATGGAGGAGGACTATCGGACGGCCTCAAAGAGATTCTGGCAAACCGTCCGGCGCCTCAGGAGGGGGAAGCAGTCCTTCACCAACACTGTTTATAGTGCGGGGGGAGAGCTGTTGACCTCGACTGGGGACGTTGTCCGGCGGTGGAAGGATACTTTGAGGAGGAAGCCGAGGATGGGGACTCGGAGGTGGACTCGTCCATCACCCTGGCTGAAGTCACTGAGGTGGTTGGCAAGCTCCTTGGTGGCAAGGCTCCAGGGGTGGACGAGATCCATCCTGAGTACCTTAAGTCTCTGGATGTTGCAGGGCTGTCTTGGCTGACACGCCTCTTCAACATCGCATGGTGGTCGGGGACAGTACCCTTGGACTGGCAAACCGGGGTGGTGGTCCCTCTGTATAAGAAGGGGGACCGGAGGGTGTGTTCCAACTACAGGGGAATCACACTCCTCAGCCTTCCCGGTAAGGTCTATGCCAGGGTACTGGAGAGGAGAATCCGGCCTATAGTCGAACCTCGGATCCAGGAGGAGCAATGTGGTTTTCGTCCTGGCCGTGGAACACTGGACCAGCTCTACACTCTCCATAGGGTGCTTGAGGGTTCATGGGAGTTTGCCCAACCAGTCCACATGTGCTTTGTGGACTTGGAGAAGGCATTCGACTGTGTCCCTCGTGGTGTCCTGTGGGGGGTGCTCTGGGAGTATGGGGTTCGGGGCCCTTTGCTAAGGGCTGTCCGGTCCCTGTATGACCGGAGCAGGAGCTGTGTTCGCATTGCCGGCAGTAAGTCAGACCTGTTCCTGGTGCATGTTGGACTCCGCCAGGGCTGCCCTTTGTCACAGGGTCTGTTCATTGTATTTATGGACAGAATTTCTAGGACAGGCTGGAGGGGGTCCGGTTTGGGGACCACAGGATCTCATCTGTGTTGTTCGCAGATGATGTTGTCTTGTTGCTCCATCGAACCAGGACCTGCAACGTGCACTGGGGCGGTTTGCAGCCAAGTGTGAAGCAGTTGGGATGAGGATCAGCTCTTGTAAGTCCGAGGCCATGGTTCTCGACCGGAAAAAGGTGGCTTGCCCTCTCCGGGTGGGTGGGGAGTCTTTGCCTCAAGTGGAGGAGTTCAAGTATCTCGGGGTCTTGTTCACGAGTGAGGGAAGGACGGAACGTGAGATTGACAGGCGGATCGGTGCAGCGTCTGCAGTGATGCGGTCGCTGTATCGGACCGTTGTGGTGAAGCGGGAGCTGAGCCGAAAGGCGAAGCTCTCGATTTACCGGTCAGTCTTCGTTCCTACTCTCACCTATGGTCATGAGCTCTGGGTAATGACCAAAAGGACGAGATCGCGGATACAAGCAAATGAGTTTCCTTCGCAGGGTGGCTGGGCACTCCCTTAGAGATAGGGTGAGGAGCTCAGTCACACGGGAGGAGCTCGGAGTAGAGCCGCTGCTCCTCCACGTCGAGAGGAGCCAGCTGAGGTGGCTCGGGCATCTGTTCCGGATGCCTCCTGGGCGCCTCCCTTGGGAGGTGTTCCGGGCATGTCCCACCGGGAGGAGGCCCCGGGGAAGACCCAGGACATGCTGGAGGGACTGTGTCTCTCGGCTGGCCTGGGAACGCCTCGGGGTTTCCCGGAGGAGCTGGAGGACGTGTCTGGGGTGAAGGAAGTTTGGGAGTCCCTGGTTAGACTGCTGCCCCCGCGACCCTGCCCCGGATAAGCGGAAGAAAATGGATGGATGGATGGTTCAGTTCATGTGACATCAAAACAACTACACTTGTAGATGGGATATTATTCAAAATGATCTTTTTGCAGCTATTTACTATATTATAACGTAGTTCTCTCATCAGATGAAATGAAATGAATCAAATGAACATGAATGCAGCTTAATTTGCTCCAAAGTCATACATTTGAGTTAAGTTTTATTGTTTGGGAAAAATGTTTTTGGCTATCCCAAAATGATTAATTATTGGTAGATTCAAATATGTTTCCATGTGAATTCAAAAACGTCATAGTATTTGGTTTAGTAACAGCATTTATCAGTTTAACCATCATGCGTGTGTTTCCAATTGTTGCAGTATGCATGACAACCGCTGGGAGGCAGAGAAGGAGGAAGAGAGGAAAGAAAAAGCAGACAACCCAAAGCAGGAGGTGAAAGCTGACCCGGAGGAGGTGCAGCCCAGGACACCTGAGGAGTCAAAGGTAACACAGTTCACCCATCACACCGTGCATTATAATTCAAAATGTTTAAGAACTTAATGGTTTATACATTTTCTGAAACTTTTTTTAAACCAAATTTAAAAGTTTGTGGTTGTTAGATACCACTTAATTTGTACCAATTTGCATTTTTTTGTTTCTTATTAAAATAAAAATGACTTTCAGTAATAATTTTGAACAATAACAAGACTTTTATCAATTTTACTCCAGTTTTCTCCCATTAAGCTAAAAAATGTACTTTCTAAAATTAAAAGTAAAAGGGAGCCCTGACCAAGTCTAGCTCCAGATCTGGAGATCTCTTCTCGGGCATGGTATTACAGTGCTCACTGCTTCTGACAGGTTGCCCCGGCAGCATTGAAGGATGAATAAAGTGTACCTTAATAAATAATATTGTACTGCTGTTCTTCATCAAAAATAGCTTCCAAAATAGTGGATGAGACCTAAAACCAAAAACAACTGCATTATGGGCATTAGTTAGCGCAAAATCTTTAAAGAGTATCTTCCAGAAGGGTCTGCAACCGGGCCACAGAGCATGAACAACCTTTGTCTCTCAAATGCAGAAGATGACATCTCATGAAAATTCTTGTCAAATTCAGAACAAAATATATAACACCTTTTATCTGAAATAAATAATAGTTTGATGCTTCAGTTGTTAATCCTGTAAAAACCCTGTGCCATAAAGGACTGAGAAACAGTGAGAAACAGTCTTTTATGTAGATATTCCTCCATTTTAATGTCTAAGCAGCCGTGTTTGTCTTTATTGACACAAACGGAGCATGCATCTCTGCACCCACTGAAATCAGGGAGCTAGGATACGACTCCAGAACCACTCGTCTTTGTAAAGTGTGTGGTTCTGGCTGGACAGGTAAGAGATATGTTAGAGTAATTTTGCTATCCCTCCTGGGCCCTATTCGAACCCTTTTTAAGGTCAGTGGCACAATCTGATCCAAATCTCAGTCCACAAACCTATAACACTCATGCACCTGCATGGCAATTTCCATAAAAAAGCATGATACAAAACATTATACGACAACTTGACAAACCTGATGCAACGTGCAGTAGTTTCATTAGTGGGATACAGGCCTATTTTAATGTGACGGGGGAGTGACTTAGCATGCAGAGCAAACTGATGGGAGACCGAAATAGAAAATAATTACACATTTTATTGGGATGTTTTCAGCTAAATTAGCATTTTCAACAATAAAATGTAATACGGTGATCGAGATATATTATATGCATTAATATATTAGAATTAATGCTTCATAGAAGTATATTACCCCCTAAGTTAAAGACTTAGACAAACTTTATTGATCCACAAGGGAAATTATTTGGATTATTTGACATTCATGAGGAAAAAATTATGTGAAATTTTCTTCCGCAGTCAGCGCATACTTTGATCTGGGTGGGACTATGAAGCTCCATAAAGCATCATTCTGGGCATTTAACTGAAACCTGTTCTGTCTCCAGGCTGTGTCCCTGAAGAGGGAGGAACCGGCAGAGGACGATGAGGACCAGTGGGAGGATGCCAGTGATGGAGAAGAGGAGGAAGAGCCAGAGGAGCCAGAACCCCACCCACTGTCCCCTAAAGAGCAGCGCACCCCCCGACCCAAAGCTCCCACCCTGGAGTCCCTCACCCCCCAGGAATCCCCTGAGACAGCTAAACCCCTCAGCCCCTTCTGTCCCTTGGACCATCAACCTGTGTCTGACTGGGGTGAGGAGATGGAGCTGCTGTCCCCTCGGAGCAGTATGGGGGGAGAGAGCCCACTGAAGCCCCCCAGTGCCGAGGATAGTCCTCAGCCCAAGAGGGACCCCAAGGAGACAACAAGGGCTGAGGGACAGTCGGGGGGACAGTCTGAGGGACAGCCCAAGACACAGTGTGAGAGCCATTCTGGAGAACAGTCAGAGGCACAGCCTGAGGGACAGCCCGGTGCCCATTCTGGGGGAGATTCTGGGGGAGATTCTGGGGGAGATTCTGGGGGAGATTCTGGAGGACAGTCTGATGAAGTGCCTGGGGGACAGCCTGAGGGACAGCCAGAAGGACATTCAGGAGCACAGCCTGGGGGAGTGCCTGTGGGAGTATCTGAGGAAGGACCTGAGAGACCATCTGTTGAACAGAGAGGTAGGACTTCCACATAGTAGTGTTGCCACAATACTAAAATTTAGCTATTACCTTGAAAACTACCACTATGTGACATCACAAGGTGGAACAGAGCATTTTCACTTTTGGAGATGTAGACAGATAATAAAGCATTTTTTAAATATGTGTGAATGAAACGAAACACAACTCCAGGTCGGCTTTTGATGAGGTAACAGCATTATAACATGGCTTTAAGGTCAAAACAGTCAGGTTTGCTTAATAATAGGACCTTTAAATGATCTAGTTTCAACACTGGTTTTGAAGTGATTTTCGTGAGTGACTTTTGACAACCCTACGCCACAGTACTATTCCTTTAGGTTGTTTGATGTGAGTTTGATGTTGAGTGTGTCTTCTGCCCCTCAGACCCTGATCAGGCTGATGGAGGAGATGGAGCTTCTCAGGTGTAGCCTGCGGCCTCTGCTTTAGGTAAGGTGTAACTCTCATGCCCCTTCTCCACTCACACCCACTGGGCCCTACTGTACGGGACTAGCTTCTGCTCAGCATCACATTACTTGTCAATCATAATGACTACTAAACTACACAGGTAGGTAGTAGTTACATTAGTAGTAGTAGTTACAGTAACTTTTTAAATAAATTGTACTTTTCAGACTTGTACTTTTTTAGCAGAGATGAAGGAAAAAGATGGGGACGTTCACTTTCTTTAGCTCTATCAAACACAGGGAAGTGGAAAGGAGTTGCCTAAAATGTGCACGAGATTAGACTACTTCTGCAAGTTTAGGCTGCTTAAAATGTTTTTATTAATGCCAAATAAAATATCCAGCACAAATTATGTATGATAAGCATGCATTAATCATTTGTATATTTTACTTTACACTCATATTTAGTTTGCAGGACTGCAGATTATTGTCCCTTCTGCCTGCTCCTGCATTGTGCAGTCCTGCTTCCACCCACAGCCGCAATGAGCTTTCAAAATGTGTCCTGTGCCACACTGTTTTTATCAGGTCCCGTGGGAGTGCAGGTCTCTAGTTGGCGGTGCGATTCCAGCTCCCACAGATGAATGCTGTTTTTTTGTCCTTGGGCAAGACACTAATCCCACCTTGTTTGTCTGCGTGCACTGGTGTTTGAATGTGTGTGTGAATGGGTAAGTGGTTCCTCGCTGTAAAGCGCTTAGAGTGCCTTAAAGGTGGAAAAGTGCTATATAAAAATGTGACCATTTACCATACTTTATTTTTAAATTTACATGAGTAATATCTTGGACTACTGCATTGAACTTGAGTAATCGGAGGCCTTGCAGCGTAGCTGCAGGACTCCATTGTTTTTGTATGCGATCTTATTATTATTATTATATTTCTGTCTGGAGAGTCTATGGCAGCCCATAGAATGCCTTGGTAAAATGTTGTGAAATTTTGCACGCTCTTTCAGGACAGGCTCATGGTCCCTCACAGCCAATTTGGGGTCAATAGGTCAAGAGCTCTAGCGCCACCAACAGGTCAAAATTAGACATGCATTCACTGTTATAACTGTTGACCCATTTGTTCAAACACAAACAAAGTGTCCTTGGAATTCTTGGACCAAGATGAGTTGAATGCACCCCATGACGTCATTTTCCGCCATATTGGATTTTCCGCCATTTTGGAGTTTATCAAAAACCTTCAAAATGATTCTCCTCTCACAAATTTTGTCCAGTCTTCCTGAAACTTGGCACACACAATCTTCAGACCAATTGTCACAACAAACAATTGGTCTGAAGATTGGATTTTTCATTTAACCCTTTGGTTTCTGGCAAATGGCCATTAAACTTGACAGCAAAGTTCCCAAAGTGAGCTCGCTGCGTAGAGACGCTTTGACGTATTGACACCAAACTTGATACCTGGACTCAGGACCCCTCACTCTAGACCCTCAAAAAATATTGTGACCTTTGACCTCTAGGGGCGCTATAATTAGCAAAAAAGGTGTTTTAAGTGATATCATCAATTCCTGTGCCTGCTGATGTTATTTGACTCGGTGATACGTGTCGTAAAATGTTTATCGTGTGACCATCTGCATTTGGCGGCCATGTTTAATTTAGTCAAAAATGCTCTTTTTTGGGTATCCCTTAGAGCACCTTGGAATAAAGCTATGAAATTTAGCATGTTGATTCAGGCCAGGCCCATGATCAATTTCAGTCATTTTTGGATTTCTACCTCAAGAGCTATAGCGCCACCAGCTGGTTAAAGTTAGACATGCATTCATATTGACACCAAACTGCATAAAAACTTGTTTTAAGGAATATCTATTGATCTGCTTGGATTAAAAATGAAATTTCGTTGTGCATGTGTTACCATTTCTGCTCTTGCCTATTCTGCAGCTACGCTGCAAGGCCTCCACATTGCTGCTTGCAGCTATATTATTATTTTGAAGTAATGTTTCTCTTACTTGGCTTCTCTACCCACCTCTGCTAACTAGGTCAAGAGTGGTTCTAAATCAGAACTTAACTAAGTTTCAACTGGGGCCAAACTAGGACTGATGCTGTCCAAATTTCAAATCAGGAAAAAACAGGACTTTTTAACTTTGTAAACAATTCATGGTAATCACTATGGTACAATGTGTTATCTCAAAGCCAAAGAAATTGAACAAGATAACAATAATAATCATTGTCCTTTTGTTTTTAATTAAACAAATATACATCCAAACAAATGTATCACTTTAATGTGATGTGCAGATTAGTAAAATGTCAAAACTTGATTTTGATACTAAGGAATCAATTCGATACTCAATACTGATTCCGATACCACTATGATTATAAAAACACTCTTTATTTGGACAAGAGAATGTGATTTTAAATGGTAGTAGTTCCTTGTGCCTTATAAGGCCATTTGGGAATAGGGAATAGGGAATCTGTGTAATCCCTCAGTGGTCCAAGTAAGTTCCATATTGGTCCATGGACATGTACTAGTGTATGTGCTCAACATCATTCTAAAGCTTTTCAGGAAAGGTTCATTTCTGTCCTGTAAATGGGACTTTTTTACTATTGATACCTGCACTACTATTTTTGACAGCCCTAAAAAAATTAAACATTATTGTAGTATAGGCCTTACGGTGCTTTCAAGAAATATTTTCAAAAAGATTCTACAGCTCTAAAATACTCTAAAATACTACTGAAAATATAACTGTTTACACCATGATGAGAGCATGAGGGTGGGTCCTCCTCAGAGACAGACCAGCTGACCACATGAAACCAGCAGCTCCATTAGCACACTGCTAATTGAATCTGCTGGCCTCTTACTGACCACATGCACCATGACACAGGGCAGTTACAGAACAAAACATGAAGTGCTGGAGTTTGTGGATACATGTTAGACCAAGAACAATATTCCTTATATGTCTTGACCGCGCCCCTCCTCCCCCCCATGCTCTAGTCTTCCAGACCCCACCCCTCCTCTGCCCTCACTCTTTCATTTTGTCCTCCAAACCCCATCCCTCCTCCCCTTTAGTCCTTCAAACCTTGCCCCTCTTCCCCTTTAGTCTTCCAGGTACTGCCCTGTTTAGCAGCTCTATTTGAAATGTGTCCCACTTTTACCTGTGCATGTGTCATGGAGAAAGCTGTGGCTCACAGTTGAGGCTCTTCTCCTCCAAAGGGCTGTGTGGAAAAGTGAACTGAAGACTCACTCAGAAAAATGGATCATAAATGTGATAGTAATTTTAACTGGGAATCCCGTGGGATTCTGAAGAAGACTGGGGGAGAGTGTGGATACAAATTAGAGTTCTTCACAATAAAACACATTTAAGCCTAATTTTCATCTTTATATTATAATTAACAGAGTTATTAGTAACACAACATTGCAAATAATGTCTCATATAATTTATGTATGAGCATATTGCCATTAGAGCCTGACTGATATATCGGTTGGCCAATATTATCGACCGATATGGGCTCCCGGGGATATATCGGCTATCGGTCGATATGGGCCGATATTTCACGTGGGCATGTTATACCTCGTTATAAATCTTAGACTCTCTACATTCTAGTCTGGTTCCTTATATACTTTTGTCGGAATTTTTTTGGGATTTGCTAATCTATATATTTTTGGAAAGCTTATATTATATGGAGTCAGAAAATCAATGTTTGCATTTGCCCAGATGTCTTTATGGCAGCCATATTGAATTAAAAAAAAAATGGCCACCAAAAATCTCTTTTTGGAATATCTCATCCTCTGAATAAGTTGAAATGTTGATTTTAACTGCTAAACCCACATTTTCAGGGTCAGGGAATCAAATGGTGCTAGTTACAAAGCTGTAAGACCTACCCACATTAACCCTTAGATGCATAAGTGGGTCAAAAATGACCGGGTTTGGTTGTTTTCTTGCAATTTCATTGTAATATTTGCATGTAATACTCCATGTTCCTCCAAAAAAACATGTTTTTTAATTATCCTGTTGAAATACTTCAACAATATGGGTAAAACAATCTATAAACATCACATGCCGTTGCTCAGATAACTCAAAGAGTTTAAAAGTAGCTAACATTAAATGTGTATGTTGGATGTCAACACACACATTTAGACACAATATGATTACTCAACTTTTTTATTAGACATTTTCTATACATCATCATTATCATCATCACTTTCATACAACCATAGACTGTATATATGAGTGGACAGGTCTAACCCTGTAGCCACCATGTGCCAAATAGGAAGTTCTCCAGGAGGCTCTTCCAGCTCCTTCTGACTCTGGCTCTGACTTACTTTAGGATCTTGTGGCTCCTCTCTCTGTACCTGCTGCTGTGAACCTTGACATTTTGGTCTTAAAATGTTTATATGAACCTGCTCTACATGATCCTGAATTTGTTTTTTTGTTTTTTTTTGCTAATTTGTCCGTCAAAAAAATCCTATTCATAATATAGTGTCTGGCTCCAGATTTGCTCCTGTAACAGTGAACATTTCAAGCTTCATTTGAGCAGCGCTGAACTCTGTGGGTCACATTCACTTAGTCCACTTCTTTTATACAGTCTATACAACACGGCTTGGGAATCATCATCATTCTGGCACTGGCTGCTGCACTGACACATGTCGGTACAGGATAAACCTTTAGTTTCTGGTGTGCAGTTCTACAGTCACCTTTGTACTTGGCTGTGGTGAATCGTGGACCTGGACCCTGGGCCTTCACTAGGACCAATTTCTGGCCATCATTACATGAATTATTTAAAGAAAACTAAATGAAGCAAATTGCACATGCACTTATTTCATATGTTTGTTTAATAAACATTAGCTACTGTTCAGCAAGATGGACAGATCTACGGCCGTCCGGGCTACGAGTTCCATTGGCTCCGAGCTTTGCCGGCTCCGAGCTCTGGCCTGGCCATGGGCTCCGAGCTCCGGTTTCTGGGTCGTCCAAATACGGGTGTCCTGCTCATTTTTGATGCTGCGTTCTCGCTTATATTTGCTATCACAGGGTATTCACAGAGGCCCTGACGATGTTGTGAT